TAGACTCAGAGCTTATGGACATCACCAAGGTAACAGCAGCAACATGCAGCAGCAGAACAACGATACAGAGTTTGGGATTATGAAGAATTTTTATTACAGTGAAGGGAAAATGTTTATAAATGCTGAATCAGTGTTCTCTGCTGTAGCTCTACGGGGAGTTTGCTGACCATTTTAAATTGTCCGAGTGCAAGCTGGCCATCATTCACTGTGCCGGACACTCTGACCCCATCCTGGTGCACTCACTGTGGCAGGAAATCATGGAGAAAGGCAAGTGAAGTGTCAACAACTCGCAAAAATGTACCTCTGCCAGACATCTTACAAAGTGTCCTTCCTGTGCCACATGTGATGTAACCGTCAGTGATTGTTTTGTCTCGTCTAGAACTGGGAGACACCGTGGCTATGAGTCCAGCAGACAGGATGAGGTCTCTCAGTTTGAAACTGGTATCACTGGGGAAGATTTATGCCGGAACACCGAGATATTTCCCTCTGGGTAAGCACTCATACCTTCCTGTAATTATGTTCATTTTTCCTCTCATTAGAATTTTCCAGCTCGCTGTTTACTATTTTGTTACCAGTAATATAATTAGACTTCCCCTTTGCATCATTTATGTCAGCACGTCTCTGCGGTACAGTACTGCAGGGTCATGCTGGTGCTCTAGGTGATTGCTTCATTATCCTCTCATTACAATTAGCCTGTTCAAACTTGTCTTCGCTGTGGAGACATTGATTTACTTCATATACATCTTAGAACCAACTATGTCAGACACAAAGCATTTTCCCCACAGTAATGAACAAGTTGCTGAGAATACAATGCTAACAAGTGCCAATATGTCCTGTGATTGTAGAGTTCCTAGTGAAGTTTCTAGAGCAGGAGGTGTGTCGACTGAACTGGGACGTGGGCTTTGTCACCTCGACCATGCAGGAGATTGGAGTACAGCTGCCGCGTCTCCTGGAGGTCTATGACCAACTCTTCAAAACTCGAGTACGTGCTTCAGATAAAACTTTTACAGCTAAGCTAAAGTTGATGCTCATGTTTATAAGCAGCAGTTGCGGCTTTTGTGGATTGGGGATTAAATTGTCTTTCACTTAATCCACCAATCTGCCTCTTGCCTGCAGGATCCCTGTTGGCAGCGGCTGAAGAAACCTCTCCACTTGGTGGAGTGTATCCACGTGCTTCTGTCGGGATATGTGGATGATCCCAGCAGAGTGCCAACCTATGACAGGTAATCACTAGCTGAGTAGCTGTTCAGCTGCTGGCCTGTGGTGGGCGCTGTAGTGTTGGCCTTGTGTTTGCAGAGACGTTAACCTGAGCATACTGTGTGGTCCCTGTTTAAAACTGAGACAAGAATTTCCTTTTTTTTGCTCACTTTACTGCAGAGCTGCAACGATTAATCACTAAGTTGTCAGCTTATAAATTACAGGCCAACTAATTTGGCTATTGATTAATCAGTTTGAGTAATTTTTCAAGGAAAAAAACTCATATTCCAGCTTCTTTAATGTGAATATTTTCTGCTTTCTTCGCTCCTCTATGACAGTAAACTGAAAGTCTTTGGGTTGTGGACAAAACAAGACATTTAAGGACGGTATCTTGGCCCTTGTGAAACACTGATGCACATTTTTCACTATTTTCTGACTTTATAGACCAAACAACCAATCACTAAAGCAAAAATAATTTTCAGTTGCAGCCCTATTTTATCATAAGCGGCTCTAGTTAGAGCCATAAACTGTAGCTGTAAATTGTGGTGCTGGATTAAACCTTTCACTGTCTACACAGCTTTAAAAAACATTAATTACTTACTAGCATCTCCACTGAGAGCAACAAAATTATAACCATTGGGAAAACAGCTTTCATCCTGATCACACTTGGTCGTTTTTTGCAGCGAGAGGCATTTTTGCTGTTTCTAGGCAACACATCATGTCTGACAGTCAGTTGTGTACCCCCAACGGCAGCTACATTCAGTCAGTCAAACACACCTTAACTCCATATGCCCACTAATGTTTGTTCGAGCTTGATGCTTATCGTTTATGTCATGATAAAATCTCTGTGAGGTGGGATAGATTTGTGTCAGAAGTGCTCAGTGAAGGGGGGTCTTATTTAAAGGATAGGTTCATATGCATTCAAATCTGTCTTAAAACAATTACTCACATGCCTTACTTGATTTGGCCAACTCAGACTGCTGAAGCCTCATATTAGCTTCAGCAAAGTGTCTAGTGTTTTACTTCAGCTTCGTTTACCAGCTTGTTATCCCTCTATTTCAGACGCCGATTCACTAACGTGTGTCTCGACAACATCTGCGGATACCTTGTGGAGCTGCAGTCTCTGAGCCCAAACTCGGCCCTTCAACAAACCATCGGCAACTTCAAGTCGCTGCAGGCGAAACTGGAGAAGCTCCACTGACGTTCCTTATAATGAGGTTCACAGGACAAGGGCACTGTGCACTGTAGGCCTTAATTAAATAGCTGATTTAAAAGTGTGATCAGCACACACAACATGATGTTTGTATTCCACAGTAGAGTTTGCTTCTTTTTCTCTTCAGTCTGATGTGTTACAGCTTAACAAGTGCTTGTTGTTGATGGACAGTGGGAGCACATGACGGTAAAGTCTTCTAATACAGACGAGGGAGACAGAAGAGACAAGTTTTATAACTTATTTAATACATTTTGTTATAAGTCTAAACATGCTGGGATACAACTTTGGAAAGCAAGGCGCTGTTGGTTATTTGCATTGTGTGCAAGTAACTGTCAGATGTCTAAAACGACAAAGATATTTGAGTTACCTGTGTTTATAAAAACATGAAATCACTGAAATTTACAGGCAAGTTTTCGTATATTGAAAATGCACTTATTGACAGTTGATTTGAGATATTTTCATATGAAAACCTGACTAAAGCTTTTTGATCACAGGAGAATTATTTTGATTGTTTGCCTCCAAACGAATAGTTCAGTGTTGGATATTGTATTTATGTACATATCTTGGCCATAATGTCTCTTCTGCCAAAGGTCATGCACACACCTAAACAATTTTTTTTTTTCATGTGTATTATTTACAGTGAGCAGTGGCTCATACATCTAACAGTGCTTTTGTGATTTTTTTTTTTTTTTTTTTTGAATGTAGAACAAATTTTTAACACGATACAGTTCACGTTGCTACACTGAAAACTTTGAGAAAAAAATCATAAAACATTTTTATAAAGAAATAAAAGTTGTCATTGCTTTTGTGTATGATGTTTTGAAAACACTATTCAAAACCTTTAAAACTGCCTTCTCAGGTACAGTAGTGTGTTCAGTTTTACAAATAATTAGCAGCAGGGGGGAGGATTAAATTGCTATGGGTTGATAATATGACACTGCAGAGGGAGCACAGTAATGGACATAATGTCTTCAATGTTTGTTTACATAATTATCTTTAATTGAAAATGGCACTCAGGGTTTCTTATAGTCACCAACCAGGCAGTAATTGCTCAAGGTTTTTTCCTCCAATTAGCTCTGCACTCTAGTGCACAATTACACTAAATTTGTTGCCTCGTGAAAAATAAAATAATTTTTACTTGATGCTTGGTTGATTTTTCTCTTAATGACTCAGAGTCAGTGCACTTACACAAGGGCCAATAAAGTATATCATGCATAACATCTATGAGATAGGACTAATGATGCAATCAGTAAAGACACACCCACCTCTTCCATCAAATCTAACTTAATCTAAATGTTTGTTATCTTTAGGCATCTTTGTGGACAACAGGTAACTAGAAGACATTTTAGGTTTGTGTTTGTAATCTGCAGTGTGAGCAGCAATATATTTTTACCTACTCCGCCAACTTTTTGCATTTGTGCATTTTAGAAATAGAATATAATCAAGCTTTTCAAAATAAACTTGCAAGGCATTGCATTGTTAAAAAGTAAATGACTGGACAAATGACAAACCAATAGAATTAAGGGTGTCTACAGGTCCTCAAAAAGTCTTAAATTGTCTTAAATTCAGATTCGATGGGTCTTAAATATTTTAGGTCACATTACCACAAAAATTTCTCCAGCCTGACAGACCCAATGACTGTTTACGATCATTAGACAGACCAATGAATTGGCAGTAATAAATGACATTTATGACATATATATATGTGTGTATACACATATTCATATGATGTGTGATGTAGTCCTGGCAAATGGAACAAAAATCCATCCATCTAATTTTTGGTAACCACTTATCCTATTGAGGGTCATGGGGTGCTCAAACTGATCCCAGCTGACAATGGGTAAGAGGTGGGGTCTAGCTCTAGATAGCTCACAAAACTATCACAGGGCTGACACATGGAGACAGACAACCACTCACCCTTACTACAGGCAATTTAAAGTCACCAATTTAACCTATCTGTCTATCTAACCTACCTATGTCTCTGGACTGTGGGAGGAAGCTGGAGAACCTGGCAAAAACACACGCTGACGTGGGGAGAACACGCAGACTCCACACAGAAGTTTGTAGGTGGAACCTTCTTGCTGTTAGGTGACAGTCTTCTCATAACCTTCAGCACAGTATTTAAAAGATGATACTGATGACCTGAGATCATCGAGCAGGTCCATTAACTGTGTCACCTTAATTTTCTGATTATTTTCTCCATAAATCCCTGTTGTCTCTTCTATAAAATGACAGAAAACCATAAAAGAAAAACACCCATTAAAATTCTTAAGACCCAATGTGATGTCTGGCCAACAGTCCAAACCCCCAAATATTTCATTTATTATCACACAAGACAAAAAAATGCAGCAAATCTTCACACCTGAAAAAGTTTGAAATATTTGGTACTTGAGCTTGAGAATGACTTGAACTAAATAGTTGCTATATCTATAGATCAACTAATTGTTTCAGCTCAAAAGTAATATTAAAGACAAAAGCTGGCATTGTAATAATAAAAGAAAATAGTTCATAGTTCAGTTTCTTGTTCAAGTTATAATAGTAAGATACTTTTATTTATCAGAGGGCCAATTCTTACAGATTCGGATCATTTCTACCCTTTGCAGGAGCAAGAAAGCTTTTTCACTCCGTGCAGGAATATGTAGGGGATGATGCAGGTGTAGGAGGCTGCGATATAGCTGGCCACCTCCACCAAAATCGACGAGGTGTGGATGTTGTTGGTGATGCGCAGAAGCAGATGAGTCAGCCAGCAGACCAGGAACACGCTGGCTACAGCCACCACGCTCTTGGCTGCCCTCACCTGAGTGCTTGAGCTCGAGCTAGGCTTAGCTGGCATCTGGCTGGGCCTTGAAAGATTTGGTTGAGCTCCAGCTCTGCTTTCTGTGTTTGTTTCCCTGTTGAGGGGAGAGCTTTGACCTGACTGCCCTTCATTTGGACGGGAAGGAGAATGAATGTGGGTTAGGGATGCAGCATTTGAGGTGCCTGGAATAGAGACAGCGCTGTCTGACGTGTCGTCACGTCTGTTCTCAACACTCTTGTTGTCATCCTTAACCATCTCCTTGGTAGCATCAGAGTTATGACCCTTAATGCGTCGTTGGTTTTGAAGGAGAGTGATGACAATCTGGACGCTGGCAAATACAATCCCTGCAACAGGGATTGCATTAGCCAGGGTTAAATAAAGGATCTCATAGGTTTGCCTTGCAATTGCATTAGGGAAAACATCTATACAGTCTTCTTTGCTGCCATTTCCGCTCTCCACTTTGACAAAGAAAAAGTGTGGGATGCTGAAGACCAAAGCCACCGACCAGCTCCCGGCCAGTAGACATCCCACCAAGCACAGGCTGTCAAGCTGCACTGGCGCTCCTCCGCGCTTCAGGGAGCCGACGAGCTTCTGGTGCCAGAAAGTGCTGATGAAAAAGGTCGTGTAGATGCTGCTAGTTTCAGAAAGGTCAGCACAAAAACGAAACACGCCACAGAAGGTTTCCCCCAGGAACCAACGCCCGGCGAAATCTGCCATGGTGTCGGGCAGGTCCACCAGGTAGTTGGTGATGAGGTTGGAGACGGCCAGGTTGATGAAAAGGATCTCGTTGGTGCGGATGCCAGATTTCTTCCCGGGCAGGGAGCGTATAGCCAGCCAGTTGTTTCCCAGGATCCCTGCCAGAAACATGAGTGCTCTGATGATGGATTCAATCAGCTCTTCCACATCCATCGTTCTGTAAAATCAGGTGACAGCTTCACTTGATCTTCACTATACAGTCGACTGGTCTGCAAAGCTTATAATGAGGCATGCTTTTTCATCGGACATTTATAGAGGCGGGTGAGAAGCCAGACCCAATCACACTGTAGAGTTTAAACGTCTCAGCATTTAGTTTTCCCTCGTGGAGCCTTCATCATGAGTCCCACTGAGATGGAGGTGTATCTTTTTCATGACAGGCTCTCCCAAGGAGCTTCCCCTGACTAAAAATAGACAGAGCAGCACAGCAGCAGAATCTGAATGTCCACTGAGCGACTGTGGAAGTCCCCGAAGAGCCACATGCTGAAGCTCTGAGTCCTCTCATACAGTGGGGGACATAAGTCAACTTTTCTTCAACCGTATTTCCAATGCCAGCTTCGAGATGCTTCCTGTACGAAGAAACAAATCTCTCACAGTGATCAGATGAGATTTGGCCCGTTCTTCCACACACATTCTTTAAATCTGGAAGATTTCGGGGGCACGCTGGTGAATCTTGTTCCTTACCCAAATTTCTTTAGGCCTTCAACAGTGATAAATAAAATTGAATAGTTAAAATTTTAAAGGTTGCCTACCCCTGCTCTATGGGTTTATGCCTTGATATTGACATAGCTATTCCAATAGCTTTACTGTCTTCATCTGAAACCAGTTGACTATCTTCTTTGCGGTATGCCTTAGATTGTTGTCCTGCGGGAAGATCCACCTGTGTCTCGTATTTTTCATCCTGGTGGACGGCAAATCCACCAGGATGAAATCGGATTTGAGTGTTTTAAAGGTGTTCATGTGATTATTTTGGGTCAGTGTTGGAGTTTTGTTAGCCCCATAGGGCCGCTTAAGGGTGGGGCGTGACACATATGCAGATCCATTTCACCTCTAAACATGGCATGTCGTATCCTTGCAGAAAAGCTCGTTTGAAGTTTGCTACACATTTGGAGAAGCTTGGAGGTTATTGGGAGGATGTATTGTGGTTAGATAAGACAAAAATCAATATTTTTGGAAGGTAGGAAGCATCTTGAAGCTGGCATTGCCAACAAAAGATTCACCACCAAGTATTAAAATAGGTATCAGTGTGTGTTCAATATTTTTATCCTGTGTGTTTCAAATTTATACCTCATAATTTATGGACTAACATGTTACAGCTTCTATATCTGTGCAGTTTTATTGAGTTGATACAAATATCTTTAATGAAAATGTATTTCCTCTGCTTTAAATTACAAACAAAATGTAACTTCAGGTAATAAAGACACACAAACTTGGTCTCTGCACTGTTGGATCACCTAAAGGAGAATGCCACCTATTTAATCATTTCAGCATTGTTATTCCTTTGCAGATGCAGATGCAGTTCACTTTATGCTTCTTCGCAACATTTGAGGAAACAGACTCAGTGGACTTCCTGCGTGCAGATTGGGCCTTCATTTCATTTTAGAAAATTAACTTATCCTCACACAGCTGCACAAAGTGAGCACCTCGTTATTTCCCCATGCAGCAGCAGTTGATTTTACACCCCGATGGTGACACAAATTTGTAATTTTCTCTCCGATTTAATCTTTAGAAATGAACAAACACTGACTAAACTGTACCAAGCTGTCTGGATGCAATGTCTGAAATCTGTGGCATTACTACTTTTCTCACTTTCTCTTTCCTCAATAAAAATACAGTGTTAACCAAGAGCATTATTAGTGGTTAATAAGTCATTTCATAATGCTTTATAAAGGTTGGTAACCCATAGATGAACACCAGCCAGAGTGAGTTTCCACAACCTTGCATGCCAAATGTAATATACATAAACCACTAATAAAGCCAGTAGTTAAACTTTTATTAAGGAGGGTTGTACCTGATCTTTAACACCAGTTTGTGGAAACTTGGGGATAAAAATATCAGTTTATAAAATAGATGGTCTGATACTGCAAAAAAAAAAAAAATTTGATCTGATTATTTTTTTGATTTCTGAATTTTACATGTTATTAACAGTGGCGATAGCAGTAGGCTATTCAGAGTTTTTACTTCAGCAAAAGTACAAATACCTTAGTGTTGAAATACTCAGTTACAAGTTAATGTCCTGCATTCAAAAACTGCTAAGTTAAAGTACAAAAGTATTAGCTTCAAAATATACTTAAGGCACCAAAAGTTAAAGTACTCGATATACAGAAGGACCTATTTCACAATAATATATATTACTGGATAATAATTAAGAAGAAAAAGATATACTTTATTAATCCCTGAGAGGGAATTCAGTTTTTTCACTTGGTTGTCATATACACACAGGCCTGAAATACACACACATGCACAAACAGGACCTACATGAAATGAAGGATGTTAGAGTGAGGGGACTGCCCGTGGATGAGGGTTCAGTGCCATGCTCAAGAGTACCTCGACAGTGCCCAGGAGGTGAGGTGGCACCTCTGTAGCTACCAGCCCACACTCCATATTTGATCTGGAAGGGGACATGAGCCGGTGACCCTCTGGTTCCCAACCCAGGGCCCTATGGGCAGTAGCTCATATATGATGCACACATTATGCATTCATGTAATCATCACTTTAATGTTGCAGCTCATAAAGATGAAGCTCATTTTAATGACTTTATATGCTGCTATAGATTACACTGAATACATTATAATTAATTAGGTGATTTGTATTTTGTAAATCTGCAAAGTAATGAGGAACTAAAGCTGTCACATAAATGCAGAGGAGTTAAAAGTTCAGCATTTTTTTCTGAGATGTAGAGGAGTAGAAGTATAACGTAGCACGAAATTGTACTCAAGTACAGTACTTGAGTAAATTTACTTAGTTACATTCCTCCACTTTCATAATAACTCCACAACAGTGGAGCTGGCTGACGACTGCAATTCTTTAAAAAGAGAAATAAGCTGGAGGCAGGACACAGTGGGGGGTCTCTGTGTAGCGTAGTAGTGCTGCACGTGATCCATGAGTCAAAGCTCCACCTTTAGGATAAACCAGAGGCGGCATCTGTGCGCCGCTGCCTGCCTGCCGGGACAGACACACAGACAGGACGGGATGCGGGACTGAGCAGTGCCAGTACGGGGGCTCTGGCTTTTTTTATTTTTCGACTATGGTTTTCGTCTCCGGGCGCTCTGAGGTTGCTGAAGGGTTTTTGTCCGACACAGATCCCCAAACAATCAGGTACTTGCACGGTGCGTTTGCTGTCGCTTCGGTTAGTATGAGACTCTGATGCGTGCGGAGAGGACAGGATGCCCGCCAGCGGCGCCGACTCACTGAAACCCAGCGCCTTCATCCCGGTGTGCACGGCCGCCTGCCTCCTGGTCGGCTCTACCTCCCTGTTCTTCGTCTTCACGTGAGTGCAAACCCTAAAAAATGAAAAGTTGGTGACATGCACTGTTGGTATGCTCCACAGGAAATATGTCCAGACACCCATTGCTCTTGATCCACAATGCATCAGGTATCCTTTCTTCCAAATATGTCTGTATTTCTGCATATGGAGTTGGATTTTAGGATTATAAAATGATAAAATGTTGTTCACTTTCTTCCTCTATGAATTGCCATTAAGCCTAATATAACTGTACAATAATAGCCTTATCCAATTGTCTTATTTTTAGTTCATTTTCATTTCTAAAAAGCTGCTTAAACCAGTGTCTAAAAGACAAATGTCCATAAACAGCACCCTTTCTTCTTCACTGACTTCACCCTGCTGGCAGACCCACCAGGGGCAGCTAACATCTGACCTGGTTGGCTCTCAGTGTGGGCTAGCCTGGGTGCCTGCCCAGTGCACCCTGAGGACTCAAGAGTAAGCACAGTTTAGGGGATAAGCCACCCACAATCAACATGTATCAAAAACTATCATAATGACCCACATGTGCCATAAATGTAGGAGGAAATGGAATTCTCTGCGAAGGCGTTATTTGTGTCAAGATCAGACAGCCTGATTTGAAACTGAAGTTTTAATACATTTGGTGAAAAGTGTTCAAATGGTTAATTTTAGCCTCGTTTTGACCTATTTGTGAGGAACTAGTGGGAGGCTGCAAAGACTGCACTCAAGCCAACGCTGGCATGCAGGGAAAAAATGAAATATAATATCCCATAATACCCTCGAATCCAATTTAAACGAGGACTATAGGTTTATCTATACATTTCAGAGGCTTTACTTATGTTCATACATGAAGAAAAAACCAAGTACCCTACTTTCCATATGAAAACCCCTCTGATATCCACTGTTGACTTCCTGATTGGAGGCTCCCACCTCATCAGCTCTATGCCAGTCAACTGACCCTTGACCTCCATAGCCATATCTGCCCTACTTTCTCCCGTATTTTCCAGCAGCGCACCGTTTCCACTGGAATCTGACACCAGATTGGGAGTACGGGATTAGGATCCTCTTGCCAACACCATGTGATCCCCCCATCTGGGAAAAATGGAGTCTGGGATCTTTGAATTTACTACCAGCAGACATTTACTGTGCTCTCCTTGGAGTGACTTTCACTGTGGAATACACATTCATTCAGTGGTTATTTTTGCACACGCCACTCTATTATCTTTTCCTTATTTCCATTTTCCATTCTATAGGGGTATGAAAAGCTCAGAGTTATAGATGTCAGCAGAAATATGGGTGCTTGTTCGTGGGAGATGCTCTAAAGCAGGGAGACTAAACTTGCTTTGCCACTTTTGCAAAATGGCCAGGGGCCCGTTAACAAACAAATATTAATAATTAATATATAGCCTAAATATTTAGCCCAGACCTCTGTTGGGGTGTCTGGAGGATTCTCTCCGGATTTTTTTTGTTTTTGTTATAAACAAACCCTATTTTGATGCTTTTTAATGCACTCTGACACATTATTTACATCCAAAGGAAAACAAAAATAAATAATAATAATAAATAACTAAGGGATGTTCCAAAACCATTTTTCTTCTTTCTTATACCGATTGTGATTCCTGAACTTGTGTATTAGGTGATGTCAAGTCCAACAACATTGCATTAAAATAAATACATAAATGAACATCTGTAT